TCCAGGCTCTGTCCCTCCAAATGTCCCCAGAAGGAAAGAGCCTGAAAAATAAAGACATCTTCAGTTTGGACTGAAGTCCCTTTGTTTTAGAAGAGTTTTAGAAACAAATGATTGGTAATTGCAGGGGATTCTGATGTTATCAGTCAATGAAATGGACATTATTAGGCGTTATCAGTCCCATACAATGGCTTCAGAGGGTCCCTACTGTGCCTTCTAGGCTTCAGACTGTCCCAACAGTGCTCCCTAGTGGGTTAATATATCAATGACAATGAATGTGTTAATAACCAAAAGATATTGTTATAAATGTTTGGTGTCCATGTGGGCCTTGAAACCTGGTCTCCTGCTCTCTGATCCAGCACTCTACCCATTGCCCTATTGGAGGCCACAGTATGTAGTCGTTGGAGGTTAGTGCTAACCATGTCATTTGCTCTAAGGTTAACCTTAGTGGCTTTATGCCTCAGACTAACCAGCTGACAATCAGAAGCCATTCTATGGTACTGATAACGGCCTTTTAAAGTCCATTTCATGGATGATAACATCCGAAGCAGATGGTTAATTGTTGGAGTGAGGAAACAGCTGAATGTTGTTCTTTACCTCATGGTTGTGCAGAAACAGCTGATCTGTCATCAGGCTGCAGGAAACAAGAAACACATCAGAAAACCAGGCTGGACTAAGACTTTTGCACAGAGCTGCAGCTCACTGAGACAAGAAGGTTTGGATCAAACTCATAAATGACAAAGATTTGTTTCTACAGCAGATTATTTCATCTGGACTGGATTAAAACAGARTTTCAAAGATCCTCCTTCCTGAGGGAGGTTCTGTCAGGTTCTGGTTCTGGTACCTGGGTTCTGCAGGGTTCCTCATCCTGTCAGGAACCTCCCAGCCAGACGTTCCTCTGAGGTGATGAAGAGCAGCGCACTCCTCCTCCTGACCTCTGACCTCTGCAGAGTTCAAACAGTTTGTTCAACAGTTTGTTCAGAACCTGAAGCCGTTTGTGACGTTTAGAACCGTTGGAACGTCTCTTACCCAACTCTATGGTGAGGATGAGGAGGATGAAGAGCTGCAGGGCTCTCCACCTGTCCTTCTGTCCCGCCCTCATCCTGCAAAACATTATGACCACAGAGACGAAACATCAACAAACATTTAGGAGATCAAAGCTGAGAGAATCTGCTGAAGATCTGCTGCTCTTTGACTCACCTGAAACCTGAAGGTCAGCTGAGGTGAAGATGATGATGGTGGTGATGATGATGATGATGATAGTGGTGAGGGTCTCTGTGGTTCTGCATTTAAATGAAGATTAGATTGGAGTAAACCGGGAAATTTTACTAACCAGAAATGATGCAGAAGTTTTGTATTTTAATTATTTTTCAGTTCCGCTTTTATTTTTAAATTTTTTTACTGTTATTATTTACTTTCATTGTTTTGTTACATCTTGTATTTTTCTATACTTCACCAGGTGCTCATTTTATTTTGCTGAAATAAATTCTAGTAAATGTAATTTTAAATCACCTTTAGTTACTCTTCAGTGTGGTGTTCCACAAGGTTCTGTTCTTGGTCCTGTTTAATTAATGTTTATTTGCTTCAGTAATTCCATCACTCAAAGCCTATCAAAAGTTTATTTTATTATTCATTTGTTATTGATATTCTAATACTTTTTAAACTCAGTTTTCCTGCTAATGGTAACGTGATGATGAGGATGGTGATGATGATGGTAGTAATGATGATGAGTCTCTGTGACTTCTTCATTTAAAGGAAAGATTAAAACCTTCAAAAAAGTTGGAATATTTAGTAACCAGAAATGAAGCAGAAAATTTTTATTTTAATTATTTCTCAGTTCCTCTTTTCATTTTTTTTATATTTTTAAAAATGTAATTCACCCTTTATTTTTCTATAAAACTTTAATGTTCAAAATCTTTCTTAAGCAACTGTCTTACAACATTTCAGTTTGGGTCAGACTGGTTTGTGTCCAGTTTT